TGGGCAGGCCAGCTTCAGATGGGGTCCGCTCCACGGTTACCAGGGGGGCTTCAGTGGGGCAGAGATGGGATGAAGACTTTGGGGGTTTTTCTAGGCTCCGATGTCTTTCAGAAAAAGAACTGGGGAGGGGTGTAGTGGGAGAAAGTGTGTGCCAGACTGTCAAGATGGAAATGGGTGCTGCCCCAGCTGTCTTATAGGGGAAGGGTACTGGTAGCTAATAACCTAGCTGCCTCTACCCTGTGGCACAGACTAATGATTTTACAGCCACCAAAGGGTCTGATACAAGAGCTTCAGAGGACCCTTGTCAACTTCTTCTGGTCTGGACAACATTGGATTAAAGCTTCAGCCCTGTACCTGCCACTGCACGAGGGTGGGCAAGGCCTGGTGGACATTTCTTCCAGGATCATGGCTTTCCGGCTTCAAGCAGCCCAGAGACTGGTTGTACAGTGACGGTTCTAGCTGGGTTGACACAGCCTACGCATTGATGAGGAGAGCGGGCTGTTTGGGGCTTAGACAAGCACCTTTTCCTCTTAAAGCTGGAGGGGGGTGAGTTGCCTGGCCTGACTCCATTTTATGAGTCTGTTATGCAGGCTTGGAGAGTTCTGGTCAAGTCCCGTAAGGCCTGCACGCCACCAGGGATGTGGCTTTTTGAAGAGCCTCTTTTTCACAACACTGCCATCCAGTCCGTGTTCTGGGTTCAGCTAGCCTACGTTCATGCCTGTTAGGCGTGGGGTGTACTAAGCTGGGGTCATCTGATGTGGAACAGGAATAGGTCGTTGGAGGAGCTGGGAGAAAGAGCGGGGATCCGATCGTCTCGCCTACTGAGGAAGGTCGTCGCTGAGGTCTGTGATTCCTTGCCAGTACTTCATCTGCAGTATGTGACTGACACTTCCAATTCTGATCGGTGGAAGGAGGGTCTGGATTATGTGTTCCCTGCACTGATTGTTAGTGCTGCGGCGGGGGCATTCGAGGAGGACGTGGGGATGCTGCTTTCCTTCGATACCCCCCGGAGCTGGGGGAGTTCAAGGAGGTGGGAAAGAAGGCCATGTACAGAATATGTGTAAAGGTGTCCCATGCCTCTTCCCTGGAAGGGGTAAAATCGACGAGGTGGGCGGGTGTGCTTGGTCCAGGTGCCTCCCCAAAAGGCTGTTGGCGAACACTATACAAACTGCCTATTGATAAGAGGACAGCTGACCTCCAATGGAGGATAATACATGGAGCCATAGCCACCAACATGTATCTGGTACACCTGGATCCTTCTGTTGGGGAGGGATGTCCATTCTGTGCTCAGTCTGAAACTCTGGCACATCTGTTTTTACAGTGTCCCAGGTTGGTCGGGATGATTGACCTGATCACTAATTGGTTCTCAGCTCTGGGAGAGGTTTTCTCTTCCCAACTGTATATATTTGGGCCAAAGTACAGGTTTAGTCAGAAAGGTGTAGTTGTGTTGCTTAATTTTGTGTTAGGGGCAGCAAAATTAGCCATATGGAAGACCCGAAAGAACAGTATTCGGGGACAGGGGTCTGTGGATGTGGTGGGAATGCTGGAGGGAATGTTGGCAGCAAGACTAAGGGTTGAGTTTGCCTAATATAAACTTGTCAACAATATTGATCTGTTTATGAGTATATGGGGTATTCAGATGCTGTTGTGTTCAGTTACTGTGGAGGAGGAATTGGAGTTGTGTTTTTAATTGATGTGTAAATACGGTTTTGTATGAGTATTTGTGTGGTGGGCTCCCAGACCCAATAAAGATTATTTAAAACTCAAACTCTCTCTCTCTATCTCTCTCTCTCTCTGTCTCTCTGTCTCTATGTCTCTATGTCTCTCTCTCTCTCTCACAAACACACACACACACATAAACACACACACACACATAAACACACACATAAACACACACACATAAACACACACATCAGTATCTTCATCATGTGTCTTCTCTTCCCTAGCTCCTCTTCTTGTGACCACTGGAACTCCCAGAACAGGTAGAAACACAGTACAACTCTTATCATTCTAGCTGGGGAAGCTGTAGGAGGACTAGTTGGTTAGGAAACTGGTACGGTAGGAGGACTAGGTGATTAGGAAACTGGTACAGTAGGAGGACTAGGTGGTTAGGAAACTGGTACAGTAGGAGGACTAGGTGGTTAGGAAACTGGGACAGTTGGGGGGCTAGGTGGTTAGGAAACTGGTACGGTAGGAGGACTAGGTGGTTAGGAAACTGGTACAGTAGGGGGACTAGGTGGTTAGGAAACTGGGACAGTAGGGGGACTAGGTGGTTAGGAAACTGGTACAGTAGGGGGACTAGGTGGTTAGGAAACTGGGACAGTTGGGGGACTAGGTGGTTAGGAAACTGGTACGGTAGGAGGACTAGGTGGTTAGGAAACTGGTACAGTAGGAGGACTAGGTGGTTAGGAAACTGGTACAGTAGGAGGACTAGGTGGTTAGGAAACTGGTACAGTAGGAGGACTAGGTGGTTAGGAAACTGGTACAGTAGCTGAAGGAAGGAGAAGGGTCTGAGAGGAATGTTATTATCTTGTATTTGTAGTTCTAGGTACCCCATTGGTCATCATGGTGTGTGTGAGTCTGACTGTGTTGGTGGTGATCTACAAATGGAGGAGAGACAGGAAATCATCAAGTGAGTAACCCTCATGTGAATGTATATATATGTACAACAATGCAAGCAACAGACAGACACACTGCAACCATTGTTCATGATACACTACATGATCTAAAGTATGTGGACACCTGCTCGTCGAACATCTCATTCCAAAATCATGGGCATTAATATGGAGTTGGTCCCCCCTTTGCTGCTATAACAGCATCCACTCATCTGGGATGGATTTCCACTAGATGTGGGAACATTGCTGCGGGGACTTGCTTCCATTCAGCCACAAGAGCACTGATGTTTGGTAATTAGGCTTGGCTTACAGTCGGTGTTCCAATTCATCCCAAAGGTGTTCGATGAGGTTGGGGTCAGGGCTCTGTGCAGGCCAGTCAAGTTCTTCCACACCGATCTCGACAAACCAGTTCTGTATGGACCTTGCGTTTTGCACAGAGGCATTGTCATGCTGAAACAGGAAAGGACCTTCCCCAAACTGTTGCCACAAAATTGGAAGCACAGAATCGTCTAGAATGTCATTGTATGATGTTGGAGTAACATTTCCACTTTACAATAACAGCACTTACAGTTGACCGGGGCAGCTCTAGCAGGGCAGGGATTTGACAAACTGACTTGCTGGAAAGGTCACATCCTATGACGGTTCCACGTTGAAAGTCATTGAGTTCTTCACTAGGGCCATTCTAATGGCAATGTTTGTCTATGGAGATTGCATGGCTGAGTACTATATTTTATACACCAGTCAGCAACAGGTGTGGCTGAAATAGTTGTATCCATTGATTTGAAGGGGTGTCCACATACTTTTGCATGTACAGTGTATGTTGTGTGTTCCACAGGGCCAGACTCCAATCTGATCGTCTGGTTGTGAAACAGTGTTCGTGTTGCCAGAGCTGGGGTTCAATTTAATTGAATTTAGTTCCATTTCAATACAGACAATGAATCGCAATACAATTTGTCATTGATGACCATCATTTTTGATGTGGACTTTTCAATCCATTAATGGAATTTCACTTCACTTCCTGAATTGACTGAGTTGAAACATCTAGTTTATTTGAATAACTGTAACTTCGTCCCCAGGCTCAATAGAGAGAGAAAGAACCGGCTGGTTGTCGAGATTAGAGTATATGGATTAATCAGTACTGATAACATTCTGTAGGGGGCGATGTGGAGGTCATTCTATTGGTTTACTGAGATCTCAGTTGCTTGTCTGTTATGTGATGACATCATTCATTTAGGGGGAGTTTGGTTGTAGAGGAGGGATGTTTCTTCTGTTCAGAAACTCATCTGTTGAGTTGATCATTTACAAAGACTGTATTTGGATCAATGAAATGTCAGAAAAAAAGTAATTCAATATATTGATGTATACTTTAACTATATTGTCATCATCTCAACAATGTGTTCCTCCTCTGCTGAAACAAACATGGTAACTTTAGAACAGAGAAGTTGACAGTTTTAACACTTAGTCACCACAGCTAGCTGAGTTGTCTTGTGGTTTAGAAGTCTAACCTTCGGCCGGTTTGAACGCAGTTTTCACTCTGCCAACACATATAGACCTGGTCAACACCTGAGGTCCTAACATAGAAATTAGATGTTCAGCTAATGTCCACCCCCTCCCACCACACTAACCCATCACTACTCCACTCTCTCTGACATGACCTTTTATATGGTTTATTCACTTTTGTTTATGTATTGCACTTGCTTGGTATGGAAACATGTGTCCCATGCCAATAACCTTTGAATTGAATTGAATTTATGGATCTCGAGAGGAGAGAGAGCAGATAGAAGAGAGAGAGAAGAGAGAGAGAGACGATCTAGAGATAGAGAGAGCGAGAGAGGATCTCGATGCTCTCTATGCGCTCTCGCTCGCATAGCCCACGCGCTAGGCTAGCGATCTACGCGCCTCGCTGCTAGCGCTCTACTTCGCTCTCCGCTCGCTCTCTCCCGCTCGAGCGCGAGCGCGCGCTCATCGCTCTCTCTTTTGGGTGTCTGTTAGAGGAGGGATGAGCGTTAAAGTTAGATGTGTGGCCGGGTTCACAGAAAGATTTGTGGAGTGTTAAAGTAAGACTTTGTGCAGTGGTTAACGGTAAGATTTGTGCAGGGTAAAGTAAGAATGAGCAGTGTTAATGTATATTCCCAGGTCATCAGTTGTGACTGTACTGTGTGTTTCTGTTTGACAGCTCTGTGTGTTGTGGAGTCAGCTGTCATGAATGTGAAGGAGGTGGTGGGAGGACAAGTCAAAATCAAATGCTCTCACACATGGGCATGTGACGAATGACCAAATATTTCTGCAAAAGAAAAATGTAAACCAGGGAGATTTACTTGTTCAAACTGAGGGGCAGCCAACATTATAATGAGAAACAGAGATCAACCATTGAAGACTTAAGAAATGGAGTTCTTCTATGTGACCATCAAGAACCTGATGAAGACAGACTCTGGGAGCCTACTGGTGTGGAAGTGGGTGAGATTTTGGCCGAGACACATTCCAAGAGGTGCATCTCATAGTTACAGATGGTAAGTTAACACAATCACATTAGCCTTTTCAAATTCCCAGTTTATTGCTTGTTTATAGGCTTCATGTCATATTTCCAGTGAGAGAAAAGCAAAATGGTGACTGTATTTGTGGATACCTGTTCTTTGTCTTTCAACACAGCTAATACAGCTGTCACCCCCAGACCCCATGTCTCCACAACCCTCCCAAACCTCTCTGCAACATCTCCAAACATCTCCACAACCTTTCTGGCATCTGGAGACATCAGTGGTCACTCTTCATCAAGAACAGGTATGATGAATCTCTCATCTCAGACATTACAACTAATATGTTGTGATATGAAATGCTTGTAACGCTGGAGGAAATCAATTGTATCTGTTCAAGCATTGGAAAAATATCTCTCCCTCTCTCTCACTGCTCTCTCTCCTCTCTCTCACTACCCCCCCCCCCCCCCCCCCCCCCCCCCCCCCCCCCCCCCCCCCCCCCCCCTCTCTCAAATTTTTTTTTTTCTCTCTCTCTCTCTCTCTCTCTCTCTCTCTCTCTAGATTATCCTACATTGGACTCTCCCAGTGCAGGACAGAGTCAGAGTGCTGGTAAGTTTCATGTCTACTGACTTCAGTGGTGGCAGAAGTCTCAGAAGTGAGAACTGATGCGTAGCATCAGATTTAGCTAACAGCTCATTTACATCTGTCCCAGGGAAGATTTGAGGCCATTTAGATAAGAGTCTCTCAGAGGCCCACAGGAAGTGATGCAACATTTTAGGTTTTGTGGAGAGCTGCTGCTGACACCATGGCCTCCGTTGCTATGGTTACTATGATCACTATCTTATTCTGACTCTACCTTTATCACAACTTTATCATCTATCCACTCTGTATGTCTGTCTGTCTGTGTGTGTTTTTGTCTGTCTGTCTGTGTTTTAGTCTGTCTCTCTGTCTGTCTGTGTTGTTGTCTGTCTGTCTGTCTGTGTGTGTGTTTCTGTCTGTCTGTCTGTCTGTCTGTGTTTAGTCTCTGTCTGTCTCTCTGTGTTTTAGTCTGTCTGTCTGTGTGTGTTTTTGTCTGTCTGTGTTTCTGTCTGTCTGTAGGTGTTTTTTACTGTCTGTCTGTTTGTTTGTCTGTCTGTCTGTGTTTTTTTTTCTCTCTCTCTCTCTCTCTCTCTGTTTTTGTCTGTCTGACTGTGTTTTGTCTGTCTGCCGGCCGGCCTGTCGGTCTGTCTGTCTGTCTGTCTGTCTGTCACCTGACAGACCCTACCAACCAACTGACCGACCAAACAACTGACCAATCTTCCAACCTACCTTACTTTACTTTATTAACTGACCTATCCAACAGTCTACCGACCAACCCACCAGATGACCCTGGTAACGATCCATCAGTCTGATATCTATAGCCTGTAAAGCATAGGGTTGAGTTATTCTGGTCATTTCTGGAAAACCTGGAAGATTGGGGAAAGTTACTGAAATGTTGTAACCCTGATAAAGTATCTCCTCCTGTCTGTGGTCAGGTCTGATGGTATCTATGATATATACAGTACTCTGTAAAGTCTCTCCTCCTGTCTGTGGTCAGGTCTGATGATATCTATGATATATACCGTACTCTGTAAAGTCTCTCCTCCTGTCTGTGGTCAGGTCTGATGGTATCTATGATATATACAGTACTCTGTAAAGTCTCTCCTCCTGTCTGTGGTCAGGTCTGATGGTGTGGACCAGTGTTGGTCTGGTAGTCATGGTGACAGTGTTAGGACTGGTCCTGCTCCTGTTCTACAGACAGAGGAGAGGAACCAGGAGAACACCACCACCACCACCAGTCTCCTCCAACACACAACCTGACCCTACTGGAGAGGTGAGAGACACAAGGGCGTGTGTGTGTGTGTGTGTGTGTGTGTGTGTGTGTGTGTGTGTGTGTGTGTGTGTCCATAATAACTTGTAGTGGAGGGGATATAGACGTTGTGGTAAACTAAACATCTAAAGGTTGAGTGTCTAAGTCTACAGCGTCCTCTAGTTGGATTGTAGCTTGTCATCATTCCATGAAGAAACAAAACAGTGGCTAACATGATGTTGATGGTTGAGGGCCATATCTGACCATGTAGTTGTTGTCATTGGTTCTCTATGCAGGTTGACTGTGTGTATGAGGAGATCAGAGAGGCAGACAGACAGACAGACACAACCCCTGTGGTCATCTCTTCAGTCCACTCTACCGTCAACTCACCTACCAACTCTATAACCTACCCTGCTGGAAAAGACTCTACAACCTACCCTGCTGGTCTAGCCTCTAAAACCTACCCTGCTGGTCTAGCCTCTACAACCTACCCTGCTGGTCTAGCCTCTACAACCTACCCTGCTAGCCAAGCCTCTACAACCTACCCTGCTGGTCTAGCCTCTAAAACCTACACTGCTGGCCAAGCCTCTACAACCTACCCTGCTAGCCAAGCCTCTACAACCTACCCTGCTAGCCAAGCCTCTACAACCTACCCTGCTGGCCGTGCCACCGGTGTCCCACACTGTGACATCTATGCTAACGCTATCTGCCACAAAGATTATATAAATCCAGGCTATTCTACTGCAGATCGCCCAGCTTCTCTCATCTACTCCAATGTGGATCTACCCAAAGATTCTAGAGTCTCTTCAAGCCCTCCAACAGCCAGTGGAACCCAGGATGATTCCATCTATTCTACAGACTAGCTACCCAAAGATACCGAAGAATCAACAAGATATCCTGCTGTACACTCCAGAAGATGCCATCTACTCTACAGCCCAGCTACCCATAATAATGTAGGACTATATAATCTATACAAGGGATGCGTCTCCAATGACACTCTATTACCTATCCCCCATATGGCCCTGGTCAAAGGCAGTGCTCTATAGAGAACAAGGTGCCATTTGGGATGAAGGGAAGCTCCCTGTAGAGAGATTGTCACGCCCTGGCTCTGGGGACTCTTAAAAGTTGAGCCAGGGTGTGTAGTGTCTGTGTTGTGTTTTCTATGTTCATGTTCTAGTTCGTGTATTTCTATGTTGGCCGGGGTGGTTCCCAATCAGAGGCAGCTGTGGCTTGTTGTCTCTGATTGGGAACCATACTTAGGCAGCCTGTTTTGCACTTGTCATTTGTGGGATCTTGTTCCGGAGAGGTTTGTGTTTGTTAACCTTAGGACTTCACTTATCGTTTTGTTGTTTTGTTGTATTGTTTAAAGTACTCATTAAAAGATGTACGCATATCACGCTGCGCCTTGGTCCGGTTCTTACGACGACCGTGACAGAAGATCCCACCAATTAAGGACCAAGCAGCGTGTCCAGGAGCAAACGCCGGAGGTAACGCTAGTGGATGTCCTCCTCGGTTGGGGGAGGATCACCGAGGAGGAGGCCGTCCGCTACCGGAGGGCGATGAGGGAGGATGTCCAGGCAGGTGAGGAGAAGCGGCGCCAACCGGGCCGTCGTCGGACAGGCGAGAGGCAACCCCAATACATTTTGGGGGGGGGGCACACGGCATGGACGACGGGGCTGCTGGAGGCAGCTACAGGGCGAGTTTGTGGACTAGGAGAGGAGGCCACCAGGTTACAGGGGCCATTGGTCAGGAGGGAGAAGGAGAGTGTGGAGGCACGGCGAGAGGAACTGAGTAGGCAGCAGAGGGAGCGGAGGTTTATGAGGAAACCCAGTCCCGCTCCTCGCACCAAGCAAGTGGTGTGTGTCACCAGTCCGGCCCGGCCCGTTCCTGATTCCCGCACAAGGCCAGTGGTGTGTGTTCCCAGTACGGCCCAACCTGTTCCTCTTCCCCGCACTAAGTTAGTGGTGCGTGTTCCCAGTACGGCCCAACCCGTTCCTGCTCCCCGCACTAAGTTAGTGGTGCGTGTTCCCAGTCCGGCCCGGCCTGTTCCTGCCCCTCGCACCAACCTGTGGTGCGCGTCGCCAGCCCGGCCCGGCCTGTTCCTGCCCCTCGCACCAAGCCAGTGGTGCGCGTCGCCAGCCCGGCCCGGCCTGTTCCTGCCCCTCGCACCAAGCCAGTTGTGCGCGTCGCCAGCCCGGCCCGGCCTGTTCCTGCCCCTCGCAACAAGCCTGTGGTGCGCGTCGCCAGCCCGGCCCGGCCTGTTCCTGTCCCTCGCACCAAGCCAGTGGTGCGCGTCGCCAGCCCGGCCCGGCCTGTTCCTGCCCCTCGCACCAAGCCAGTGGTGCGTGTCGTCAGTCCGGCACAGCCCGTGCCTGTTCCACCGGTGCCTGGTCAGGTACCGGTCAGCTGCTCCACACCGGAGCCTAAGCAATCCGCTCCACCGATGTCCAGTCCAGCTCCAGCCAGCAGGGCCAGACCAGACCAGGGGCGCTACGGGGGGGTAGCTAGAGAGTGGTGGTCACGCCCGGAGCCGGATCCGCCCCCGAGGCGGAATGCCCACCCGGCCCCTCCCCTGTTGGGTTTAGTTGGCGCGGTCGCAGTCTGCACCTTTGGGGGGGGGGGGGGGGGGGGGGTACTGTCACGCCCTGGCTCTGGGGACTCTTAAAAGTTGAGCCAGGGTGTGTAGTGTCTGTGTTGTGTTTTCTATGTTCATGTTCTAGTTCGTGTATTTCTATGTTGGCCGGGGTGGTTCCCAATCAGAGGCAGCTGTGGCTTGTTGTCTCTGATTGGGAACCATATTTAGGCAGCCTGTTTTGCACTTGTCATTTGTGGGATCTTGTTCCGGAGAGGTTTGTGTTTGTTAACCTTAGGACGTCACGTCTCGTTTTGTTGTTTTGTAATTGTTGTTTAAAGTACTCATTAAAAGATGTACGCATATCACGCTGCGCCTTGGTCCGTTGCTTACGACGACCGTGACAGAGATGAAGGGTTGTCACCACAGAGTCGCCATCTTGGAATGACACGAAAAAACCCAATCCCTTTCATGTTTCAAATCCTCCTTGACATATTGTATTAACACAGCTCATGTGGTTTTACTGTATATAATGTATGTAAAATATGAACATCTAGGTTTCAAATCAATTTTATCTCCAGATTTTGTGAAAGTCAACCAACATTATTGTAAATATTTGTGTAAATATGAACTATGTGTTTTGTCATATCATTTTGGCTTCATTTTGGCTGTTATAATAATGAAGACAGTAATGCCATAATAGTCAGTTGTACCTTTGAGATTTACATATCTATTATGTATATGTATATAAACTGTACCTTTTAACTTTTAAAGTATTTCAATAAAACTCATCAAAATGTTTAAAACAGTGTGAATGTGTAGTATTAGTGTGTGTAGTTTGTGTTTTTCAGTGTGTGTGGACATGTAGAGAAAGAGGAAGACTGAGACACACCCACACCTTACACACACACACACACACACACACACACACACACATACACACACACACACACACACACACACACGTCCACCCACCCAACAACACACACACACACACACACACACACACACACACACACACACACACATACATACACACACTGAAAAACCACAGAGAGAGCAGACTCACTAGCATCACAGGTACTGTAACAGGAGTAGTAAAGGGTTGAGTGATTGGAGACAGTACAGGGAGAGATGAGACTTCACTGGTAGAGAATCATGATGACTGTCTGTATCACTATACTACATCTCCAGGTGTACTGGTGTATATAGGGTCAGGTCTGGGGATGGTGGTGTGTGTGTTGGTCCTCATAACCTTAAATGTACCCCAAACCCCTGACCTTAAACCTAAAACTAACGCCTAACCCTAAACCTTTTACCGAAATTGTAACACTAACCCTAATTCTAACCCTAACCCTGAACCTAATCCTAAACTTAACCTAACCCAAACCTTACCCCAAACCCCTAACCCTAAACCTAACCCCTAACCCACATTTTAACCCTAATTAAAACCCTAAACTTAACCCCTAAGCCTAGAATTGCTTTTTTCAGTGACATGTCCCCACTTGTCTGGATTTTCCAAGTTTTACTATCCTTGTGAGGACTTCTGGTCCCCACAAAGATAGTACAACCAAACACACACACAAACAAACACACACAGACACACACAGGGATTACATATATATTACATGTCCTCTTTAGTAAGACTATGTTAGTAACCCCCCAGAATGACTCTGTTATATACTCCAGTGATAGCAACCCCCCAGAATGACTCTGTTAAATACTCCAATGTTAGTAACCCCCCAGAATGACTCTGTTATATACTCCAGTGTTAGTAACCCCCCAGAATGACTCTGTTAAATACTCCAGTGTTAGTAACCCCCCAGAATGACTCTGTTATATACTCCAGTGTTAGTAACCCCCCAGAATGACTCTGTTAAATACTCCAGTGTTAGTAACCCCCCAGACTCTGTTATATACTCCGGTGTTAGTAACCCCCCAGAATGACTCTGTTATATACTCCAGTGTTAGTAACCCCCCAGAATGACTCTGTTATATACTCCAGTGTTAGTAACCCCCCAGAATGACTCAGTTATATACTCCAGTGTTAGTAACCCCCCAGAATGACTCTGTTATATACTCCAGTGTTAGTAACCCCCCAGAATGACTCTGTTATATACTCTAGTGTTAGTAACCCCCCAGAATGACTCTGTTATATACTCCAGTGTTAGTAACCCCCCATACTATGTTATATACTCCAGTGTTAATAACCCCCCAGACTATGTTATATACTCCAGTGTTAGTAACCCCCCAGACTCTGTTATATACTCCAGTGTTAGTAACCCCCCAGACTCTGTTATATACTCTGTTATATACTGTAAGTCGCTCTGGATAAGAGCGTCTGCTAAATGACTAAAATGTTAATGTAAAATGTACTCCAGTGTTAGTAACCCCCCAGACTCTGTTATATACTCCAGTGTTAGTAAGCCCCCAGACTCTGTTATATACTCCAGTGTTAGTAACCCCCCATACTCTGTTATATACTCCAGTGTTAGTAACCCCCCAGACTCTGTTATATACTCCAGTGTTAGTAACCCCCCAGACTCTGTTATATACTCCAGTGTTAGTAACCCCCCATACTATGTTATATACTCCAGTGTTAGTAACCCCCCATACTCTGTTATATACTACAGTGTTAGTAACCCCCCACTCTGTTATATACTCCAGTGTTAGTAACCCCCCAGACTCTGTTATATACTCCAGTGTTAGTAACCCCCCAGTCACAGACTATGTTAGTGAATTCAGAGCCAATCAGTGACTAGCTACACTACAAACATAATTGAACCAGGTTCCCGTAAAGCAATTGTAATGACAGTCCACCACAACATACCCTATCATTTCCTGATTAGCAAGTCTGTGTTTAATTTAATTTTGTAATTTAATTGTGTGAGAACTGTGGGGTTTCATATGCCTGTATTAACTTGTCTGTTGCTCTGTTGTAATATACACAAGTTACAATGTCTACTTTATGATGATTAATGATACAATGATGAACCTGTCAATGTGCTTTCAGTAAGATAACCTTTACCAAGTGTCCGTATTCACTTATATTTAATGGCTGTGTGTGTGAATGTGCTTTTTAATTGATAAAGCCCAAGAAGCCGGTGTTTGGAGGATATATTAGCATTGGTGTTGCTAGGACCGATGATATATTGGCATTGGTGTTGCCCAAGGATATATTGGCACTTGTGTTGTTAGGCCCGAGGATATATTGGCACTTGTGTTGTTAGGCCCGAGGATATATGTTGTTAGGCCCGCTCCCTTGGTACCTCTGCCTGTCTATGCCTGGCC